ATTACATTATCGTAATTTATCAAGGGGCCTAATTGCTTTATATTAATTTTTTAATAAGTGGTATTTATTTTTGTAAACAGTAAACAAAGTGTATCGTTATTTCAGTTGCAAAGTACTATCAATATTGAGATTACTTAAAATCAGAGCTTATTGAATGGTGCTGTACACATTCTTAAGAATATTGTATTGAATTATGTGATTATGCTTCTGAACAGGAATGAAAAAGAACCTGTAATAAGATGATCAAAACAGATACGACAATCAAACTAGTCGTTATCCAAACATTTTTCAGAACATCTAAATACGTATCCTATTTTCACGTTGATAATCATTTGAATGATATCTGACATCGACATTATAATTCACTAGTAAATATGCATACTCAGTCACCGAGTACAGACTGGTATGTTTCTTCCTTTTGAATGGAATACACCCTCCCAATAATTTCTATAAAAATTACCACCCTAGGGGTGATTATGTCCAAGGCGTCCTACCATACTTTTAACAAAGATTTTGTTACATTTTCATCAGTCTCTTCAACTCGTATATATGGATTCTGATGGTGTGACCACCAAACTTTCTCTTTGTCAGTAAATTTCTTAAGTAAATTTTGCTCTTTTCTGCTCTAGTTGTTTATGTTTCACATTCCATAATAATGACAATATATTGAATGTAGATTTTATCGTTGAAAAAAAAATCCAAAAACAAAGTGTTTAATTAATTTATGCCTTTTAGCTGCGTGTCATTCATAAAAGGTTGTTTTGTTTGCTGATTATTATTACTTTATTGATTGAATTTTCTGCATGCTAAGTAAGATCATAACCTATGGTTTCTATCAACAATATTTTACACATTCCTTAAAAACTGACCTCTCATTTTCATAAAGTTTTTGTGAATAATTTTCTCTTCAATAAACATGTTTATTTTTTGTAAATGATGGGTGAGTTTCGCACATTATTTTTGTAAAACCAGAAACGCTATTTTATATACGTTACTGTTAGGTTAGATAACTTAAATGCCCTTAAGTAATGATGCATAATACATAGTATTGAAGTAGTAGTTGTTTATGCAAATTGTAAATTAGGATAATTAGTTGTCAGCATAACTTGATTTCTTAAATAAACATATTTCATAATTGTGAATAGTTTAGTGTTCTTTTTTGGAATTTGTGCAACATTATCATAGCTTCATGAATATTGTAAAATTCCTGACTATGGCTTACTAACTTGACGTGATGGTTGAGTTCACCTATATTAATGACCTAATCAATATAGATTGACTTAGAAAATTATTTTCTAGGTCCTATCATGCTGATTTCGGCTGGTGAATAGTAAGACTAAAAGCATCAAGAATTAGTCTGAGGACTGAACGTGACCCTATCTAACTAGTTGCGGTTGCTGATCGTTCCAGTTTATAAGAAAGGAACAAAATGCTTTCATGACAACCACAGAAGAATCATTTTGACTCATACGGTGTCTATGTTATTAACCTCTATAATGATCCAATGCATAATAAGATTTCGTGATTGGCTTTTGTCAACTTTCATCTGTCGCTGCGTAAAAATATGTCTGTATGCCAACCAAAGGACCAGTATACTGTACAACGGTTCGCTCTGTTTTAGTTTGTGTCCTTTCAAAATAAAGCATATTCATAGGTTATAAGCATTCCATACTAAATTCCTTCATCTCGTTACTTGTGTATTTCGGAATCACCAAGTGATCATTGTTGTCGTAAAATACAAGTTACTAGGCAAATATGTCAAGTTGATTGGTGAGGTTACTAACGTAAATCAGTTAGTGTGATTGGGATATTCATTGCTCATCTTCAATCACCATCTACCTCGATTGGTAATGACAGCTAGTCTAAAAAAACGTTGGATGAAAGCCACGGATGATTAGACAAATTCGCGACAACTCATCAAGTCATAGATAATTGGACTGATCCGTGTATGTTGTCTCAGACTGCGTGGTTGGAATCTCCACGATCACCGTAAACATTGGTTGGAAACATTGAGTGACATAGTTTAGAACTATTCGCAATGACACAAGTATTCTAAACTTAATCGTTTTTTTAAAAGCTTTCGATTCGAAAAATCTTTCTTTTCGAATCATATTTTTTGTGTCTAATTTTTCTACTGCCGCTAATACTGCTCCTACTCGTGCTACTCTAGTATCTCACTGTGATGATTAAGTATGGGAATTTTAGTCAATGCATGTATGTGCCATGTTCTACGTTGTGTATGACAACAACTGACTGAGTCATCACAATCATGCATGTTCATGAACTCAGATAAATTTAAAATGATAGGATAATATTTGAATATCACTTATCACACGGTAAGTTTTGTGTTTTTTTCAATAAAAATTTTTCATCCCATTTTGTCTAGTGAAGTGATTAGTTTGAAAATGGTAATTGTTGATTACTGATATCCCAAAAGTGATATAAAACGTAAATATTCTTCGATCGATCACCTTTTCCAAACTATGAACGTCAATAACTTACAAAATACTAACTGTATTGTTTCGAACGTTGTCATGGACACCGATAACGTGTACTTAAGTACGTTGTATCTGGTAGCGTTCCATTCGCAACAATGTTCCCTAACACTTGAGCACACATTTTCAAAAACAAGTTAATCAATCATTTATTTCTAAATTTTTCAAATCACAATAACCGTGCAATAAATGTCAGTCATATTATTTCCTAATGTACCATTTGTTGTTTACAAATCATTTTATACACAATTAAATAAACAAAAATACTTGATAAGAAGTAAACCCGTTTGTTTTGTTATCAGTCCGCTTATGTTCCATCAATATCTGATCATTGTGATTATTAGCGTAATAATTAACATAATACGGTTAAATTTTGTTAAAATGATCAACAATTTGTATCTTCTCAACATCAAAGTACAAACATTAAGAAACACAGCTGTATAATACGGTTTTGAAGATACTGTGTTACAAACTCAGTGTGGAATCTCAAAATATCAAGGCTTTGTTTTTTCATGTATATCATATGTCAAGTATGATTTTGTACCATTGGCTTTAAACTACAAATCGTTCAAACTTAAGTAAAGCAAAGCTTATACTCGAAAGTGTATAAACGAATATTAAGTTTTCAGTTTTCACAACCGCCACGGCACTTTCACTCAGTAGGAGAAATTGTCAATTTATTTTCCTGCTAGTGTGTACTGTGAAACTAATGGTTAAGCCTTCATTCTAAAGCAGATGATAACATGATAATTATTTCCGGCCGTCCCATTAGGGTGTTCTGAGAAAGCTTTTTTAACATCAGTTTTCATCTATCAATTTACATGAATTTTGTCACTATACATAATATTGCTTTTCTTAAAAATCCCCGTTATTAGGAATAAACGGCATTATATATTTCTGTCTGTGATATTGAAAAGTTTAGCTGATTACACAGCTGTACGCCCATGTCAATGTTCATTTACTTATATCTACTTGATATTATATTCTGAGATTGTCCTTGACATTTTTAAGTGGTCTTTCGTATGCTTTCTTGTATCGATCTGACCTTTTATTTCAGTAACATACATAACACCCTGATCCTTAAGATATATATATATATATATGGAAAGGAAGAGGTGTATTTGTACCTTCAAACAATTTAGATTAAATTCTCAATTCCTGTGTGTTAGTTGTTTACGTCTTATTGTTCTTTTTCTCTTTATTCCTTTTGTGTTTAACCAATATACATTGTCCAACAAAAAGTAATTTCTGGACAATAGATGTGTGTAGTCTTATTTTTTTCTTATTATTATCATTGGTTTAATTGGGAATAATATAAGGTCTAAGATTATTACTATAGATAGTCGATTCATTCATTCTACATACCAATGTATTATTGTACATTCCTAAATTAAGTGATTATTATAATTCTTTACCCACTTGTTTATATGCTTCTAACAATTATGTTTAGTTTAGCAAATGCATTTTATCTTATTTAGCATGTTGTTAATTCACTTTTACTGGAACTCTTTCTTTTTTAGCCAAGAAAAGAACCTAACTAATTCATCGTCTATTTCATTTGTTATCATCTGTCACATTTCTTCTTTTTCTTCTTCTTCTTCTTCTTCTTCTTCTTCTTCTTCTTCTTATTATTATTATTATTATTATTATTATTATTATTATTATTATTATTATTACTGTATATATAAATCGACTAGTAACCATATTCTTTGGCCTAATTAGGTTAATCATTTTAATTTACACTAATCAATAATTGAGTTTCTGTAGCCCGATTACTATTCTTTCACTTTTTTTTCTTTTTACATTTGTTATTATCCATAACAATCAATAATGTGTTAACCAGACTTGATATTTTAATTAAAAGTCGAATTTAAACTGTAGTTCTCTATCTTTTTACGGTTTATTGTTTGAGGTACGAAGATTTATTAATTTTCTAACTTAGTAGCAATTAAGTTTTTCTCTTAGTAACAGTATGACTTTTTGATTGATTATTGTATCCTAAAACCAACTACCTAATTCATTATTTAATTATTGGTCAGTTTCTGTTATCCCAATCTTTTTTTGGAAAAATTTAACATGTGCGTATTATAAGAAAATGTATAATCGTCCGTTCTTTTTTCCACTAAATAAAACGCTTATCTTCCACTGATTTCTTTGACTTTTAAAAATCTACTGTCCGTTCGTCGATTCATACAATCTAATGGCTTATATAACCCCTTCGAAAATTAGTAGAACTTCAAGCTTCTATTCAAAGTCCATATCGTCCAATTATATCCTCATATCCTGTGTTGTCCAGCGTTCAGATCTCCCATCAGGATGGTGAGGTCCTTTCTTGAGCACTTCGCTATGACTGATTGCAGCCTCGGGTAGAACTGATCTTTACCGTCGTCGTCGCCATCATTGGTGGGTGCCTAACATTAGACAACATTCACTGTGATTATTGTAATTGTAGGTATTTGTATTTTTATTATATATATATAATCATTATATTCTTATTATTTTCAGAGTCAGTATTTATTCACAAGAAAACACTGATTTAAAACGTCGTGTGGATGGCTTAGAAAGTACAAATCGTTCTTTGTTAGGTCAATTGCGTCTATTACAGCAACTTGTCAGTAAATCCAAAGCCAGTAACACTTCAAATTCGACATGCTCCACTGATTCAAACAAAACTGGAAATCAACCAAATCATTTGACTACAAGTATCAATGGCTCTGTTGATCCTTCGACTCGAATTACTTATAGTAATGGTTCACCTTCCACTTGTTTGATGGTCTTTGCCTTATGTTTTGCTGCCTTATGGATTGGGCAACCTTCGGGAAATGGCAATCAAAATGCAATGAACTCTGGTCTAAGCTTTACTTTGAGTCCTCAAAATTCCTTCAATTTTTGGGTATCACAAGTTCCGCAGCGTCTGGTATCTGGTTCACTATCCCAAGTAATAAATCAACTTCAGATAGCTTAGTTTTTTTATAGAATTTGTGTAACCATATTTGTATAACTACATTTGATTTATTAGACCCTGAAATTTTGGATCAGCGATAAATGATAAGGGAAATCATTTCTATTAACATTAGTGTTTGTAAGTATTACTTACATGAATTAGACATTCTCTGGATGTTATTTTCAGACTAGTACATAATATAAGATGAATTTACGTAGATTGGTAAATATACTTTGGGCAGTTTCTGTATATTTCATCGATCTTTTAATACTCTTCAATTGTGCATTCTTAATGATTGTTAATGATTTTTGTGCATGGTCAGCCCATAAACTCATTAAAAAAACACAAACTTGATGATAAGTTATAACTAGTATAATAACTGTACGCTTATATATGTAATTAGCCTGTTGATCTTTTCATAATTTTCTAATTCTAGATTGGTTACTCGTTCTCGAAACAACCTCAGTTTAATGAGTATAAGCATAGTTCTTTCGACAATTTTGATGTAAAGAAGTCATATGACGCCCAGTCTGTGGTGCATGATTCACCACAAGAACAAACATCAAAATTAGACAGTCAGTTACCTCAACATTCTTCTCCAGCTACTCAGAAATTTCATGGTTAGTTCCCATTCATTCTTATTTTAGTTAAAATGTATTCATTTGAAGTCAGCTTCTTGTAGTTGTATTACGTGGATTGATATGTCAAGTAAATCCTGGAGTGAATTGTTGACTTTTATCAATATCCATGCATTAAATATGATAACTAGGTATACATACAGATGAACAATTAAATATAAAAATGTTGTGTCAAGTAGACCCGAAGCTGAAGTTTTAATTTGTGGAAGAAGAAAGGTATTGGGAAGACCCAATGAATTCCTTAAAAATATCCAGAGGAGCCCTAAAAACGCTGAGAAAAATATTTTGTCTAATCGGCGTTGAATGAAAGTTTTTCAAAAACATCTGGAAAGTGGAGAGTCAAGTGTCACAATTCTGATTGGATGATTGTTGTGTTGATCACCAAATTTTATTGATTTCTTCAGCTGGTAATACATACTGTTCGTATATGATTTGACCTTTCTCTATGCTCAATATTCACGTCATAATTTAAGCAAGTTAAGAGACACTTGTGTCTATTGCTATGTTAAGCCCACATAGCTTATCCTAGATTCTGGACAGGCCAATTTATCCATTCTTCAGTCACGTTTTGACCTTGTTAATTATTCACGTATCAACCTTGACTGTTTTTATATCAGTGTTTTTATTTGCACTTATTCTCATACTCATCACGTGTCTGTAGCTTATTTTTACCTGACTATATCGATTAAAGCTTGATTAAATCGAGTCGGCCCACACGTCTTCTCCGTTGCACGTCATTTCGCTTCGCTCTCTTTTTCATACTCTTTGTCCCTCAAATGCATTCAAAAATCCATCTTCGTATTTGACGTATTTAATTCCGTTATTCACTAACGCAAGTTAGGTCAATAATTATATAGTAGGGTTGGCGACATTTATATCTCAATAGCAATCAGAATCGATCCAACTGGAGTCAAATGTAAGGCCTCCAAACACTTCTGATTATACCATTTGTTACAAAGATTACGAATTGGTATATGCTGAAATCATCTTGTACATCAATGTCATACGTTTCGTCAAATTTAGGAGATTAAATAACTCATTAGTAAGTAATTTTGTCACACAAATTGAATTACTTTGATCTTCTATATGGAAGTTACGTACTTCAAGTCATTACATTTATTTTTGTCTTCCGATTATCATGAAGTTCATTTCTGGTGTTGTACAATTCTTTATTATTTTGTTCTCACCGTCTGTCTTTGATATTCAAATAGTTGATCATCCAGAAGTTATATCTTCTGTATAACAAATGTAAGTATTCTAGTTTATTATATGATATTAGTTATATTGTGTTACTTTTCATTAACTTTCAGTCCAGCGTTCGAGACTTCTTGGGGAAGCAAGTGAGTTGGAAGATTGTGGTCCTGCAAATTCTTTTTGGTCTTATTTATTCGGAAATCCGACCTCATCCAAACATCAAATTTGTGGTCGAAACGATGATCTACCCACAACAGAACTTCAGCTTTTTGACGACATCGAAAGAGATTTAATGCTCACTCTGTTACCCAACTCAACAGATTCTAAATACTATTCGAAATTCAATGAATCCAAAAGCTCTTTTCATGTAACTTGGCCACCTGTGATAGAATTATCTTAAAGTATCATCTAATGAAATTTACTACTACAACTTTTCATCTTTCATGAGGTGGTTCATGTCACCGTTTGTTGAAGGTGATACTTTGTTATGAACCATTTCATTGTGTATGTGATACTCTCATTTCCCATTAGGAATTACTACTGTCCAGTTTTAACCCAAGTGCTAATACGTTCATTTATCTGTGTTCTAATAGTATTTTCTTATGTGACACTCCATGATAATGTTACATTTGTGATCCGTTTTACTCGTGATTTCTTAATTTTTTGGGTGAATGGTTAAGTGTAATGTGTGTAATTTTTGTTTTCATTTTTCTTCTGTTTATATATAAACAACTGTGTATATTTAACCTTATTGGATATGCTCCTGACTTTCTATATTCTTCATTCCTTATTTTTTATGATTTACTTCTATGGATGACATGAATCGTACTTGTAAACTTATTTACTAGCATGACTTTCATCCCTTTGAATTTTTAACTCCATAATATGATCGTAATTTTATATCAATCCACTGTTTGGATTGGGATTTTTGAAACAAATCGGTCATGTTCATTCTCCGAAAAATAAATAATATTCAACTTAATAATATTTTCGACGTCAGATTTTGTATATGTTTATTTTTGCATTTACCTTGTGGAGTAATAATTCTTTTGTATTATTATTTACTAACATATATTATTCTCCCTTTTTTGTGTAAGAAACTTTGTTGTGCTACGCTTTTCGCACATATACATCATGCTCTGTTAGTCTTTTATTCACTTCTTCGTAATTGCTTTAATCTCTGGTTGGTTGATTTAAAATAAATTTCGTCAGGACGCTAAGATTTTTAGCTTATACAAATGATTAGGTTTCTATTCGTATGGAATTATATTTTGAGGTCAATGACCAAGTCGGTAATAGGATTTTCCATTCTTTTGTGCAAAATTTAAAAACTCAGAAATCAACTGTTTTGCTGTTTTCGAATGAGTAACTTGAAATTATGTAAATGGTTATTTAACTTTCGCATGGGATTTCTATCAGGACAATCTCAAAACCGGGTTTTGTTAAGCAATCTTTTTCATCACTAGTACATTCCAACACTCAAGTAAACATTAGAGAATGTCGCTTAGCTGTAGGACGTGAGTGGTAACTTTCTCTGTTAGAGTTTGTTCACTTTGGCTCTAGTACTGGAGGCATCCTATCTCAGTTCTTGTTCTAACCACTCAGGTTCCTAATACAATAAAACCTGACCTATTATCAAAGTTGACCTTCCACAACCACTCAAACTCCGAGGGTATAGGGCTTGAAATTTATTTTCTGGTGTTTTTGGTAATTTGTTTGCCCTTTTCCATTTAACTACTAGTGGTTTTTGAGGCCTAAAGCAATCTGTCATAGCTTTTATCATTTGTGAAGTCGAAAGAGCTAACAAGTCACCAAACTACGCAAACTTTATAATTTAACAACCGGGTTTATTTATGAGGAAAAAGCACTATAATTAACACTCACTTTCTGTTAAGACAACTGGTTAGACAGGGATTGTTGAAATTTTATTCAGTATAGATCAAGTGAACTAGTAAACTCACAATTATAGAGAGATTAAATGGATTATCAAATATTGCACGCAATATTTAAATACAGGCGATAACGAGTAAATGTTGGGAGTTTTCAATATAAATGAATGAACATGCTGATTTTGATCGAAACATAGGGCACTCAAAATACTATTTGCAATACAAAGAAACATCTGTTTATTTCTTATTCGCTTCTTCATCTTTATTATGTTGATCCCGCAAACGTTTTGTCGTTAAAAAAAGAACAGAGAAACATAAGTTCTTAATTTCTGAAGTAAATACATAAATTATCTTCAAGAAAATATGAACAAGCCCAAATTTTATAGTTCAGTTGATATTTTTGTTACTTTTTCAATATCTTTGGAACGTTCGTTCGTCATTGAAGAGATCAATTTTTTAGAGCTATCATATGTACGACTCAACTAGTTTGCCACATACACTTACAGAAATGACAACAAAGTAATTTAGTAAGAATATGTAGTAATAATTTTTTAAACAATAATTATAACGATAAATATCAAACAATATACTTTGCGAAGTAGATTGTATGATCGATTTACATCCCCGAAAAGTATTACAATCAAGCTGTAAGAAAATATCGGCTACAGAATATATTAGAACTACTAACGAGTTGCTTGTCTAATGGAGTACATTTTTGTCCTTATTTAGTTTAGCTTATTTATTTAAACAAATATTGGTACAAAGAGGCACCAGATATATATGCGCCACACAAATCTCATTCAACTTGTGTGAGGGCTGTGATACTGCCCAGGTGCCCAAACTGAAGCAGGTGGTTTTTTTTAGGGGACCACACCCGGAGCCTTTGACCTAAAGGTCTGATCGACAAGGCAGTGGAGCATCGTGAGGAGATACAGTCCCGTGGTAGCCGGTGACCAACGATTGATTCATACGCCATTTGTTCCCTCAGGATACTGGAGCCCATGTGCACCATTTCTTTGGAATCAGGGTTTTCCAACTGCCCCAGGGTGAACTTTCCGTGTCCACCAACCCAGTGAAAGCACCGGACATTCGTTTTTCGTTCTCTCAATTTCACAAACAACACACTGGTGCGAGAAGTCAGTGAGTAGGACTTCCCTGGCAGAGACTATATACGCGTGGCCATGTGAGAGCATTTCGAGAGCGTACTCTCCCCACTCTCGGCCGTACCGGGGCATAGTTTAGCTTAGATCACTCCAAGGTTAATTATTAAAACTGTAAGGTAATTCTAGGTGTAGTAAACTAGCGCTTGACCCTCTGTGGAAGAGGAGACTCAAACTTAACCTCATCTTCTTTTTCAAAATACTTAACAAACTATCCTTCACATCCAACCAGGCGATTGAATATGCTGAAACTTCACATTACTACATTCGTAACTCCTTCTCTTTAGCGAAACAAGCATATTCTAGATCTTCTCTCTATATGAATTACTTTACTTGTAAGTTTTCTAGGCTTTGGAATAATCTACCTCAAACTATCCGTACGTTAAACTCTCTCCCATTGTTTGTTCGCTCAATTAATGCCTATTTCTCCTCTTGAAATTCATTAAATGCTCTAGCGCCTGCAAGTGTATCTTACTCCACAAGTGAGATTATCGGAACTTTAAATGTTTAACCTCTTACTTGCTATCATTGTTTTGTTGTTCCGTGCTCTTTGCTTTTATCTTACTTTCTCTAGTTGTAGATAATTATCAATAACTCGCTCTGGCGCTGGAAATAACCTAACAGAACAACGTCGATTAATCATCAGGCTATCCACTTAAGAAAAAATGACAAGTTCCCTGGTGTTGCATTGGCTTGCCGTGATATATAGGATATATAATCAACTTATCAATTACTAAACCAGCAAACAAAACTTTCTTATATTTCATGTTCGTTCTCTACATTAAATGTTGCTTTTTATATCAATCTGATCATGCCTGTAAACTGGTGTGAATTCTGTAAACATTATTTTCAGAATATATTATTATTATTATTATTATTATTATTATTATAAATAAGCAACTTCAGGGATCATAAAGGCTGATCACTCGTCAAAATTAATAACCTCTTTTAGAAACTGGGAAGTGACATCATTTCAGAAAGTGTAACAAATATCAAAGAGTGGTAAATCAGTTTGGCAGTCACAAGGATCAAACGTCAACAGAGACAAAAATTAGAATCAATCAGGACATAACAAAAATAGACATTAGAATGATGAAACTGCGAGTACACATAAGGACTAAACTTTCTAAAGCAAATAGTGAACATAATAATAAAAAATACATGAATGTTTCTTATTTGCAAGGTGAAGTTAAAAGTCACTCCCGGTTCAAAATCATCGTACTTTAGCATACACGATCATGAAGGGTTGGGGTGGTTGCAGGTATTCTGCATATGAATAGTGCCAAGTAGTACTCCTGATTGTGTGCTGCCTTGATTTTGTGGCGTACGCGGATTTGGAAAAGCTGAATAACTTTTAGAACACTTTGTTATTATTATTATTATTATTATTATTATTAATGGCTTTATTCAATATTATAATCTGATACAATATAGAATGCTCAGCACGATGATGGATCACATCACCTACTGATTATCGCTTTGTACTCTGCGTTGTTTTGGTGTTTACTACATAAGATTAATGATAAGACCATTGCATCAACTAGATTGAACACAGCTTCAGTAGGCCTGGACGTTGTTTTTAACAGCGATTGCTTTATCGACTTCCTTTCAGTTAGGCAAAATCAAAACGTGGCTTTAGAGATTTTCAGCCAGTGACTGTAGCAGGAAGCTCCCTACCGTTGCTGCCACCTTGATTTGGTGGTTGGATGGATCAGTCGAGATGTAGTGGCGGCAACAATCGTCCCTCAAGATCCTACCATGCCAGACAGGTCGGTTGAAGAGAGGCAAGGCTAAAAAAAGCGTAACCAAAGTCCGGAGACAATGTCTTACTGCTGACTGTACATGGGTGTGGCGTCGGTAAGAGGTTCCCTTCGGGTAACCAGCATAACGACGATACTGCCTTCCTACAAGGAGGTGTGGGGTTCGAAAAGGTCGACCCTAAAAATGCACACCTCACCTTATCCAACGGACTACCGTCTCTGGCGGTATGGTTTCAACAAATACGAGCTAACACAAAAATTGCTCAAAAAGCATAGCACAGAGTACAAAGGCAGAACAAGCACCATTAGAATGGATCCCTGTTAATAGTCTCCTATATGCTGTTTGACTAAATGGCTCCGTAAGAACTCGGAAGGATAGGGACACACTTCGGTGCCTTTTCGTCATTTCCGCAGCCCAGATGAAGTGAAAGATGACTTTTACAGAAAACTCTGTGAACTTCTTCAGAAAGCTAAACGCTAAGACATACTACTCGTAGCAGGTGAGTTTAATGTCCAATTAGATAGCTCAAACTAAACAGAAAAACATGTAGGTGGGTATTTTAGTATTCCGGCTCAGCGAACCGATAATGGTGATCGTTTGTTGCATTTATGCTCAGATAATGGTTGATTTTTGGCAAACACTAATTTTAAGCATAAGGAGAGACATCATCTAACATGGCGACCCCCTGCAACAAACAAACGATGGACTCAAGTAAACCATATTTCCATCAGTCATCGTTGGAGAGGCTCGACAGAAGATTGTCGCTCGTACTGGAATACATGTTTAAACTCCGATCACGCTTTAATGAGAGCATGCATTTGTTTGCGCCTCACTGGACGCAGAAAAACCACACTAAGAAGACCGATTACAATTGAACTGGAGGACGAGAAAGCCAAAAGTAAGTTCCAGGAACAACCAAGTTAACATCTAGGCAGTTCTTTAAACGGGATTGATCCAGATGTTACTTGGAAAGATATATGAACGGCTGTGGAAACAACAAAGACATATATTATTGATTTAAACCAAAGGGTTATGAAAAATCAATGGACTTCTACTAAGTATATTGCACTAATGGATTCACATAATGTCGTCCCATCAGGCTCTGAAAACGATGAAAAGCGAAAACAGATCAGATCTAGGTTAAACAAAAGTTTAAGGAACGACCATGAACAGCGATGGACACCGAAATCGAAACTGGTGGAAAAGGCAGTGGCTGTAGTTGACACGAAACAGCTTATCAGACTAATAGAAAAAACTGGGGTTAAGAAGTCAAGTGTAAGTGCGACGATCTCAGCCAAGACGTTAATAACGATGTATGTAATACTTTAAGGAGTATTTCAACTGGCCTTCAGCTACTCTATAACTAGCCACCATTCCCAGACAGCCTGAATGAAATAGGCTCCCTGAC